AAATTCTAGTATATCTTAGATTTTTAGTAAAGAAGGATCAAAGCAAAACCTTTTTCACCTGTACTTCAGTGTTTACTTATATCAAGCAGCAATCATTCTTCTTTACATTAGCTGAGCTGGTTCTTCCTCTATGGAAAATGGTGATTTTTGTACATGGTTTATTTTTTCTTTTATTTCTTCTAATTGCTGGATTAACATTTTCAATAGTTTCATAATTATATATTATATATACTTAGGAGTAGGAGTATTCTTTAAATGTTTCCTTCAAAAACATTATAATATCAATTAGTAGATTTTAGTACCAAGTATTTCCATTCTTTTTGTCCAGTATGTTCTGAAATAAATGATCTGAAACAGGAGAAGAGAAAGTTAGATGGAATTTTACAGACCTAAAATTTTAGATATGTGTTCTAATTCTTATGCACTTTGGTAAATATTTAAGTTCATATTTATTTGGTGTTTTTAAATTGCTTTTATTAAAATGGATTAATAGAATATTTAAAAATAATTATTTCATGGATCTTTAGAAAGAGTACACATTCCAAGCTCAAAAGCTAAAGTTTTTGGTTGAAGGAGGTTAAGTAAATAATTCAGAAATGCATTCTGTTTACCTGTTAATAATTAAGTAGTGTGTACTTTTCATAGTCATTGAGTTTTTATTTATTTATTTGTTGGTGTGTTGGCTTTTAAGAATTTATTTAAGGTAGGCTGCTATGGGAGATAAAAACAAACAGTGAAGCTGCATAATAAAGCAAAGGGCTTGGGTTACTTTTAAAGAGACAAGTAAGAAAAAACAATTAATTGACTGGACATGAGAGTTAAAAGCAATATGAAGTACATAATCTATCTCAGCTTCTCTCTGGAAAAGAAACTGTAATACTTAACTACAAGTATAATTTCATAATGTGAATGGTCTTTGAATATTTCCCTAGAGCTCCAACTCAATGAATTTGATTTGATTTTAGATGGCTTTTGTTATGCATTAGCTTGGCCACTGTTTTTGAAGAATTCTTAGAGAAGTCTATCATAGAATTTATCAATTTGTCTTGCGTTTAAAAAGTTGAATAATACCCCAAACAAGAATGAATACCTGTATGTTCGAAAGTATGGTACGCATAAATAGAACTAAGTTAGACTTTTTAAATGAGGGAGATATATCTTGTCCTCTTGATCAAGTAAATATACAGCTTCTTCTATATGTTCTAAGAGAATTATACAATGTTTTCATTTGACTTTTTTATAAGCTATGGTTAAAATTTGTATTTAAATTTTTATTTAGTGAAGATGATTTGTTTTTTATAATTATTAGTGGAGAATGGCCTTTAGCTATGTCTCTTAAATTTGTCCTAAATTGGTAGGCTCCATATAAAAATTAATGTTAGTTGATAATTCACCATAAAAATCAGTTCAATTGTAAGTGTCTTTTGAATGGCATGTTAAACCCTATGGATTGGAAAACATTTCTTATGCAGTAATGGACAGTATGGCTTTGTAGTTAGTTAAAATTAAGCTTAATTACATATTTTGGAATTTTGATTGCTGTGTTTCATATTATATAATATAATTTAACCTAGTTATTATGGAATATTTGTTTTTAATTTGAATCCCTTTTATTTCTGTTGCTGGTTAATATCATTTCATATATATTTTATCTTACTCTTTTAACTTATAGTAAAATATTTATATATTTTCAAATAAGTTTTATAAATCATAAAATATATTTATAAATATATATTTTAGAATAAAATTCACAATTTTATTATGAACTGATCATTGTGTATTTTGCTCATTCTAAAAAGATATTTATTTTTAGATGGCGAATATTATTGCTATGAATATTTAAAGCAACTATTTACTTTTGGTCTCTTAATTTTGTTACAGGTATTTTAAACCTAAGAAAAAATTTAAATAGTGAAATGTATAACTCTCTGTTTTGTTATATACTACAGTATTTATGCCTTAAAAGTCCTTGCTATCATGGAGTTCAGAAAATTTTATATTATGTTTCTTTAGTATTTTTTTTTTAGAGGGGGTACCGGGGATTGAACTCGGGTCCTTTTACTTGCAAGGCAGGCCACAGAACCACTGAGCTAAATCCCCGGTCCCACTTTAGTACTTTTTGATTGGTTTAAGTGTTATATTTAGATACAGAAAGCTGATTTATATATTGGTACCTGGTAAGAGATAGAATATTGAATTTATTTTACCCATATAATGAGTCATTTATTTCAAAACTTTCTGTGGAAATGTTACCTGTCATTATTCCTCTACTGGAGTTATTCTGGTCTCTTCTACTTCAGACCTAATATCATAATATGTCAGTCTTTGGTAAAAACTTACGTTATTCACTATTCTTTGCCATAGGAATGAGACTTAAAATTTGGTATCTTTGCTGTTTAAGTTTAATTTGCCATTGCCTAGGCTTCTTGTTTTGGTAGGTTTTACCTAATTTTAATTAGTCAAAACTATTAAATATAATTTTATTTAAATACAGCAAAGTTTTTAACAGTTTTTGTATATCAAGCTCTGCTATCCCATTAAGAATACTGAAGTATAGCAGTCTTTCCTCTGTGAAAATGTGTTAATCTGATAGCAGCTGACACAATATGTAAAAGATCAGTATAGTGGCCTAATTTTGGTAACTTTGTTTCTTTTCTCTAATTCAGTCTACTCTTTTGTTATTCATAACCCATTGGGTCTAACCATTTTATATATTTTCCTTTTTATTTCTTTTTAAATTTAGAACATAGTATTTGTGATGTGATACTGGGCTTAACAGATTGATTTTGGCATATGAAATATGGTGACTTTTTCATAATCACATAGTCTGTTTACTTTTTCTAATTAACATCCTGATAATTATGTCTTCCTCTTTTTAGTTCTGTAAAGGTTTACTGAATTATTGCTAGCCTCTATTTAGGGAAAATAAAAATGAATACTGTTGACCAAGTTTTAGTCTAGTGAGAAAATCTGTAAATTGTAAAAAGCAATAGCAGGATAATAAAATAATAGTTACTGAGTGAAGTGTTTGCTGTATGCTACTTTTGTATTAAGTAAGCAAGAAATGTATCATCTCATTTAATTTTACAATGGCCCTGATACTACTGAGATATTCCTTCACTTCATCAATGTTTCTTTATTTTGTCACCTTTTTTGAGGAACTTCCCTTTCCAAACCTATGTAAAATACTGGCCTATCAAAATCTCAGTGATTTTACTTTGTATATTTACCTTCATTGTACTACCTACATAATATCATAAGCCTAATAACATATTTGCTTATTATTTGTTTCCCTTGCTAGAATAAATATTGAAAGGAAGGATAAATGATGAGTTTAAGGTGCAGTTGACTTTTATTCATAACATGTAACTACTTGTAAGATTAATGTTCTTTATCTGTATATAGATGTAGACTTAGTGGCTGTTTCATAGGCTTTTTAAACTGTGTGTTTTTTCATTCAGTAAATATTCATTGATCTTCTAGTACTGTATATGGCAGGCACTGGTATTAGGCGTGAGGGTATAGTGAAAAAGACCAAGTCCCTGTGCTTATAGTACTTCATTCTAGTGGAGGAGACATATAATAGATAAATAATGCTTACATACATCAAGTAATGGCCACATCAGTTTTCTCCATGGTGTTTTTCCTTACCTTGTCTTTACAGTCTGAATGTTTTTCTTATCAATTGCTAATCATTCTGTATATCTGTCACTAGTGGCTCTGATCTTAATCTTCATATTTCTAATTTTCAGTCTTTCCTCAAGTTTTGTGTTGCAGAGAGTGTAATACTGCCCATTTATCCTGAATATAACAGCACTGCCATTTTCATTTCTTGTACCTCGTCTATTAATACACCCTAAATTCAGGTTTATTAGTTTGGTTTGTTGTTTTCTGCTTTGATTTCTCTTTGCAAAAATATTGCATATGTGTTTGTGTTTTAAAGATCTAGTAAATTAAAATTCCTTTTATTTTAAGGGATGTTTCACTGTAGATACACTGGCTTATAAGATTAGTACATGTTTGTTTGTTGCATTTCCATTAGTAAAACTGCTTTTGAGACTGGCTGAATCTCTGTGGAGATTGTTAGTAAATATGACATCAAGGTCATTAATTTCATGCCAAATTTAGAGCACTTTCCAAAAACATATATAATATCAAGCTCAATTTTTAATAGAAGAGTTGTTTCTAGTTACATTTTTTTATAGTCAAACTCATCAAATTGTCTTCAAAGGCACCTTAACATGCTGCCTGATCAACAGCTCCCAGTCTTAGTTTTAATTTTATGATATGCAATGCATTGGATGAAAAATTTTGGTAGTGACTGTCCCATTTGTTAAGCATTCCTACCTCCATGTCTGCTATTAACTTTGCTGCTAAGACAGGAAATATAAAGTAATGTTCTAATATCAGTGCCTTAAATGCCATATACAAGCTCAAGCTACACTGAACATGTTACCCTTCTTTCCCTTATTTCTTTCCACCTGTTTTTATTTTCTTTTGATTATCTGTACTTATGCAAATAGCTCAAACTTTGCCTATTATTTTGAGGATATGTCCTGTGTCTTGTCTTTGTATACTACTAAATCACTAGTACTTATGAGTTTATTATACACTGTAGATTTTTTTCAAATTATCTTTTAAATAAGAATTAGTAAATTAATGGTTTAAAGGGTATTTGGGGTTAGCTTTATGAAAATATTATAATAAAATATAAATATTATTAATATAAATTATGAAAACTTCTAATATTCTACTATCCATCCTTCTCAAAAATGTACACAGAGATTTAGGTTGAATATGTGTGCCGCATTTTACTGAACACTTGTACTACACATATACATCCAAATGTGTTGGCTCTTATTTTCTTTTAAAAAGTACTGATATTAATTGACATGTACAAACTCAGCCATCTACTCCTCATAGTGTGTCATAAACACGTGATGGAACTGCAAAATGTTTCCTTGACAGATTTCTGATTTTAAGTACCTTTTTTTTTTTAGATACATAGAAAGAAGTGTTGAGAAGTGTCCTTTGAGTGTCTGAAGGCTGAAGGTAAGGTCCAAAAATGTTTTCTTATGTGGCTTTTATCTGTTCAAATGCTTCATGATATTTAAGGCCTTAGATTTACAATCTTGGGTCTTGTCTTTCTTACCTTTTAACACATTAAATGCTTTTATGTGTCAACCTAAAACCTTTTGAAATTATATGTAAAAAAAAATAAACCTTGTGTTATCACCAAATATTTTAGCCTAATTGGGTATTGCTATACCCATTCTTCTATGTAGGAAAGTATTTTATACCCACCCCCATTTCTTTAGTTTGTAATTCTTAAATATTTTAGCCTAATTGGGTATTGCTATACCCATTCTTCTATGTAGGAAAGTATTTTATACCCACCCCCATTTCTTTAGTTTGTAATTCTTAAATATTTTAGCCTAATTGGGTATTGCTATACCCATTCTTCTATGTAGGAAAGTATTTTATACCCCCCCATTTCTTTAGTTTTTAATTTTTCTAGTTTTTTCCTTAAGTAGACATAACAGCTCAAAGGAAAAAAGCAAGTACACATTTTTCCTCTGGAATAGCTTTACAATTTACTACAAGAGATAAAAATGCATTTGTTGGGGACAACAAAACTCTTCAGATGACATTTAATGGCTACCAATAGTCGAAAGTCCAGAATTTCAGGCAAGAAATTTACATTAGACTTTTGTTGCTGCATTGTGTATAAAGAGCTCATAGGGCTTGAAGTACGTTTCTTAGACAAGAGGGGGCTGTAATTACTTTGCCTTTTACATGCATGGTTAGATTTTCTAGCAAGAATAACATGGTAGGGTAATTTATTATAGAAAAGTAAATCATAGTTTACGTCGGAGGGGGATGGGGTAGATAAGATCCAGCCATCAGTTTTGTGAATACATACACTTAAGCATATGTGATAGCTTGTTTTTAATTTCTTTACACGAGTGCACACCTCAAACATTCCGTTTAGCAGTGGGATATGCAAATTGTTCCAAATGCAGCAGCAGTACTTTCACCTGAATGTCAAAACTGTCAGAGAGCTTTAAATCAAGTCTTTATAACATTTTTTAAAAAACAGCCAGCCCCAAGATCAAGGTACCAAACTCTGAAAAAACTTGATTTCCATACTTCCAAAAGGCTTGTGTATGTCAACAGTATAATGTCGAAGTTCTAATTCACCTGCTTTCTAATTTTAACCTTTTAAAGATTTTATTTTATTTGGCTTAATTATGATATTTTCTACAAATTAATGATAAATGCCTTGATTAATAAAACCAAATGTCAGAGAAAATGACAACTTGATGAAAAATTAATACTCTACAATATTTTAAGGTACAGAAGTACTAAAGATGTACTCTTAAACCTCATATCTCATCAGCTCTTTCTGAAGGTAGGTAACCAGAATTCTCTTTTTACTTAAGTTTTCACATTCACACATGTAGATGTATTTTAGCAACATATTTTGAAGCACTTTTTGGCTGTTTTAACTACCTGGTATTATAGGTACAAATATATTTCTACTTTGTGTCTTTTGCCTCATAATATTTATATTTATTTCACAAAATCAAAGTAAAACATGCTTTGAGATTGTTATAGAAATAACATTACCTTTCTAAGAATTTGGTTACTATATGTGGGTTTGTGTGTTTCAAGAAATTTCTTGGTGTAAAATTTAGCAGTTTGTGATTGCATGTGTGGTAGACTAATTCAGTTGGTTATGACTATTTTGGATTTTATATTTAGAATTATTCAGTAAAATAATGAAATTTTAGAAAGAGAAGGAGGAGAAGAAAAAGGGCAGAGAAGGGGGAAGAAAAACCTTTTTAAGAGAGATTTAAATGTTAGGTGTTTGCTTTTGAATAAAATATGTATGAGGCTTCATTAAGAGAACTAAATATAAATAAAGGGTTATAATTTCCTTTCTATACACTATTGGGTAAAAATGAGAAATATGTCTATTTTATTTTTCTCCTTTAGCTGTACATCATTGGGTTGAAAGATAAAAGTATCTTGCAAATTTTTGTATCTCCATAGATACCAAGATTTTTTAACATAAGTAGTTAACTATTCATTTAAATGTTATATAAAATGGTAATATGTGGGACTATAACCTGTATTAGTTTTTTTATTTTCATATTCACAGATAGAGCTGCAAACCAAGTGATGGAGGACACAATGACCTCTTTTGTGCTGTGCTTTTTTTGTTGTTGTTGTTTGTTTGACTGTTCAGGATAAAAAGACTCACATAAAGTGCTATCATTGAAATGGACTAAGTTTGACCATCTGTTCATGGTCATCCCTATCAATAGAAATTTTTGCCGACTAATGTTATATTGGGATTTTTTTAGATAAGTGTTTAAGGAATATTATTCTGCATAATGAGATTATGTGGAGGCAATTTTTGGTTAACCTTCTGTAAGCAAAGTGTATGCTAATCCCAAAGGAAAACTCTATTTTTGTGTAGATTTCTAGTAATATTTAAAATTGGAAGTGAATGGCATTGAATCTTCCCTTAGTTGGCTCTAGATGCTATTGTTTTTGTGTCTTCTCTGGTTCCAAGTATCCAGTATGTACTGGCAAAACTGCTTGATGAGTAGAGGCCAACATTTCTGCCCTGACTCCTTATATACCTGCCATGAATAGTAACTCTGTCAACTAGCCATTGTTTTGTTGCTGTCTCTGTTCCATCTTAACTGATCACTATTTAGAGGAGTTAAATTCATGTGTAGTGCAAGGCTCCTATTACGTTTTTGTTCATTTGCATGAAAAATCATCCATTTTTCTTTTTATATATAATAGAAAATAAGACATGCTCAGCTTGATAGTTTCTGAATTACATATTAAACAATGTGCTTTTCCTCCCTTGTTTATAATGTTCATCATTTTGTCAGTTTATGTCTGCATATGAATAAAATACCTATTTTTGTTATTTATAAAATGAATCAGGGGTTACTAATTACAGTACCTAACAATCCATAGTTTTACAAATTAAAAACTTGTTGAGATTCTAGTTATTTGAGTATGTACTGTATGAGAATGTTGCCTTTCTCCATACTTTCTATTATGAAGGGAGAAAGTCTTAAACTCAAAACAATTTCTAAAAAGGGTTTTGCTTGTTGTTACAAAGTTTGATCTTATAAATGAGGACAACTGACTCAATCTTACAAAGAATTCTTTGTTTCAGAGAAGCAGTTATAATATTTTAAACTCAGTTCTTGCATTAATAAACATGATCAACTTATGTTCAATGAAGAATCTAAATACTAAGGAAAACTAAAAATTAGACTATCATCCAACAGAAAAAAGCTAAAAATAAATATATTTTGTAAAAGACTATTATTTTATTCCACAGGTTTAAGTAATTCAGACCTTACTGACAAGAAAAGGTTAATATGGCTTCTAAACTTATCTAATGTATATGAGTAGAATGATGAGTTTTTGAAAAAAAGAAATCACTTACTTTGTTTCCTTTGGAAGCTTGTGTTTATTAATTGAATAAAATATGCCCATGAAACACACTGATAAGTAATCAAAATATATCAAGAAAAGGCATGATATATAGGAAATTTATATTTCTTGCCAAAATGCCACATTCGGTTTTGCTCCGAATCTACCATATCCCCCAATATCCAGGCTCTTTTTGTATCCTTTAGTAGTGACAAGATGTTTTTTATTCCTCTAATGAAGTAGGAAGTAAATTAACATGCTGGGGTGGGGGAGCTTACATTACTTATTGTAGTAGCATTCAAAATATCTTCGTAATGCTCTCTGACTCATATCCACAACTAATTAGTGATTTTCAGAATTAGGAAAGATTTTAGTTGTGTGGTAGCTCTATATTTACTAGTGATCAAGGAAGTGTTACTAATTCACTTGTCAGTATTAAAAAAGGATGAAGTAAATAAAGGGCCAGATGGTTGAGCCCTGGACCTATCAAGAGCCCAGTATGTGTGGGCTAGAACAACAAAATGACAGAAATACTTACCAGGCTAACTGAAACCAAAGTTAAGCCTTCACTTATAAGAAAAATGAATGTTTTTCAGTTATGTTTCAGTGATATTGTGTTTTACATGTGCAAATATCATCTATACTAATTACATTTGGGTGCCATAAATTTCCTTCTATCAACAGCCAGGAGTGTTCACAGGTATTAGAAAAGTCTCGTGGAATACCACATAGTGGAATGCTATTAAAGCAATTACCATGAAAACATTTTTGCTGGTCCAGAGAATACTGATTTTTTTCTCCTACAGAAAGCTATATTTCTACAATTATAAAAATACTTATATCTCATCTAAGAGAAGGTAGGCCTCATGATACTTTGGTACTTGGTTATGTAGTAGTTGCTGTAGTGCATGATGAGAGGAAGAACTAGTGTATATTTGCTTAATATTTTGTGATTAGTATTGCAATAGTTATTATAAGATTAACTTATATTGTAGAAATTATAAAGCACATTCCCTTTATTTCCTTTTATTTAACTGCCTTCCCATCCAAGTGTCATTTTATCTTGCAAGTATTTACCTTTGGAAATTTTAAATCTTTTATTTTCTAGGTTAGGCATATGAACTGTTGGATCAGTAACTTGATTAAAAAGAGTGTGACTTTTAAGCAAAAATTTCTTCCAAAATCATACAAATAATGTTTAAGGTGATTATGTAACTTTAGGCCTCTGCCTTCATTTTCTATATCCCCATTTTTTGTTTTTCACCCAATATTTATTGATGGTCAGCTTTGTACCAGGAACTTTCTAGGTGATAGATCTTAACTGTTGAACATAAGAAATACAGACCTTTCTCTTTGTGGAGCTGATAATATAGTAGGGAAATGTAATAAAAACATAAACACTTTTGCTTTGTTAAGTAAGAATTTGATCTACAGTGGATAAATTACTGTATCGACAGTTGCTGGATTCATTAGTAGTGGATTATTTCTGGATTAAAAAATTGTGGAGCACCCAAATTATTTCAGGTTATGTTTTAAGCAGCAAATAGTTTTGGCGTGTAAAAAGTAATATTTGCTTGCAGAAGTTATAAAGAACATTGTTTTTCAATTCTGGCCTACTTTATATGTTATAAATTACCTCCATATGTATTTTCAAATCTCAGATTGACAAATCATAGGAATTTTTGTATTTTAATTTATAGGAAAATATTTATTTAAAATTTCTTACTAATAGTACAGAATTTATCTGTGAATTAAATTTTAGTAATTGCAAAAAAGCATGTGTTTTTCCTCTCCGTGGATGTGTGTGGGGAATATTTTTGTCCTATTACACTGTTCATTATGCGCCCTTATGGGTGTGTGCACTGTTTGGCCTTCCAGCCTGCATTCTCATTCAGTAGCATCCCAAGTCATTATGCTGAACTTCGGCCTTGTTCACTGAAAACACCATTTCCCCATCAGCTGTGCACTTGGAATGTATTCTTTTTAGTTTCACAAATATTTTATATGTGTTTAGTATATATTAGATGCATTTGTCAAATTACTTGTAGATAATAAGTTTTTTAAAGTTATAATTTGAGCTATAACCTCTGAAACTGTGAATTATAAGGTTGTGACCCTTTGGTTCACATTTTGACACAGCAGCCAATAATTATAGTTTTTAAAGGGCATTTTATTTTAGTAGAATTGTGTTATGAAAACAGTTTAAATATTTTCTATTAAACTTTCAGGAATAAATGCCAAAATGTAACTGCATAAATAT